AAATGTTATGTTTCAATTTCAGTGTAATATAAACTCTTAATGACACTGCCTATAGGCTTTATAACAAGAGATATATTATTTTTAGATTTGGTTTTGCAGTTGGGCAGCGTTTATGAATTTGATAGTAGTGGAAATTTATTGAGGATGTTCGGAGGGTGAATCTGGAAGGTTTCGGTAATAAACAACATTATAGTGACGCTAAAGTAATTTTTAACTTCTAAAGAGTAGGTCAACGCGTTTAGATGAGTTATCCTTACGGGAAGGAGGAATGGAACACAGTAGCTCATCCTGTATCTCTGTGTGATGTAGAGTATTGTTATCATTTATTAATGTGATTAATACGTTCTTTATTGCTTTCGATTAGGTATTAATGTTTTTACTAACCAGATGCAATGGGACTACGTAATGGTTAATAGTTATACTCATCCACTTATTGTGGATTGTATGAAATTTTTTTAATGTTTAATACAATTGAAACTCTCACAAAGTTTTGTAAATTTTATATTATATTACGTATAAAGGCGGATTTCCACTATACACGTTTGCCGTGTACATGAAAAATGTTCAGCTATGTCCAACAACACGGTCGTGGTTAACCGTGTGGTAACTTAACCTAACCAACCAATCACAGCAAAGGATTTGTATGCACGTACACACCTACATGTATAGTGGACATCCGACTTAATATCAATTATACCTAAATTATAATTTATAACATAATTTAAGGTTATACGAATTGGCTATAGTTACCTAGCTAGTTATTAATTATTACTTGCTATTGCTCGTTAAAAATGTTTGAATTATTTAATATCAAATAACTGAAAACAAATTGTTTATCAACGATAATAATCTATTTTAATGTGCTATTTCGAACAATTATATCAAATAATAATTATCTAAATAACAACTTAACATAGTTAATCATGTAGGTACTTATAATTTTATTTAATTATCTAAATATCACCTGTTTATAATTAAATACATTAGTATGATGCAAATTATACATACTGAAATAACCTAGTATATCAGATGACTTTAATCTATTCGGAAATTCATCAATATTTGTTGTACTATAAGCGCCATTTATTTTCATACAAGTGATATATAATAATAATATGATCATTAAAATCACTTGGGTAAGACATTGGACATTAAATAAACATTTACAAATAAATATACTGTTGAGTTGTCGGTTAACGATTATTTAAAATAATACACGTATAATATTACATGTATGCTTAAGATTATGACGAATTTATATAAATAAAAATAAACCTATGGTGTGCAATATTTTGAAAATAAAAAATAAATAAAAGGTGACCTTCGGCATATTTTATATTTTTCGGCCAAACGTGCAAATTCATTATTTGTATTTATTTAATCTTACACAAACCGATGTTTATAAATTTTATGATAAAATAATAAATTATTATTCCTATTTTCGTTCATAATTTTGGTGTACCTAAAATCTGCTGGTAAGGTTAACCGGTTAGAGGCTACCTACAAGCCGAAGACACGAGTTGCAACGGATGCGATGGCTGAAAATATTATAATTTATCGTATATATAATATATATAAATATGTAACATCCGTGATAAATTTACTGTGAATACTATCACATAACACTCGTAATTATAAAATATTATAATGTAATTTTTCCATTGATTTATAGGTTATAGCGTTTTGGTTTATAGTTTATAGGTTTATTTTGATTCTGAGTATTGGAAAATCGGAACATTTTGTTGATACTCTCGAGGGGTAAAAAGTAATACAAATCGCTACTTTATAAAATAATTGGTAAAAACAAAAAAAAAAAGGTGGGCAAGTGGGTGTCGCTCTGGTGTACAGTAGGTTACAAGTGGGTCATTGTATAATGTATAATGGATGGTATTAAATTTGAATTCAATGATATAATATCATTGTATAAGAAAAGCGATTCTGAGCGGAGACGGTATGTCCTTCTAGGTATAAGACATATTATATACATAATACATATCTATGGTATTAAAAAAAATTGACCTATAATGAATTCCAAATTAATCATATCACAATATCCATTAGGTACTTATAACGCGTTATACACCAACAACAAACCCTGATACTATCATAGATATATATATATATAGTAGATTACTTTAGAAATTTCAAGTACCCACGAATAATATTATACAATCACAACCAAATAACTAAAATCGTAATTCTTGGTTTAAATATGAAATTTTGTCTAAATTTGAAATTAAAATGTCTGTAAAAAATAAGTGTGTTTATATATTTTTTAGATTTTTTGGTTACAGTATGAATTATTTAAGAGAATCTTTGTTTTAAATTTTCAACTCTTAGTTATAAAAACTGAACATTTTATAATTTTTTAATTCCAACGATTGATAATTTTCGAGATTTTGATAAATTTTGTCAAAATTCCAACTTTAAATGCTTATAAAAAAAAATCGTGCTTATGTATTTTTAAAATTTTTCAACTGATATTGTAACAATATATAAGAAAGCTTGTATTAAATTTTCAGACTTTTTGGCCCACCAAATAAAATTTTATTGACAATTATAAAAAAAAAAACTAAAAAAATTGAAAACTGAAAATGTCCGTAAACAGCGCAAAAAGAGTCAAAATATTTTCAAAATTGTATGGTGTATAGGAAATGCTAATATAAACATTCAGTGAAATTTTCATGTATCTACAGTTATTCGTTTTTGAATTACAACAAAATAAGGAAATCGCTACATGAGAAATCGAGTTAAAATCCAATGTTGTAAAAATTTGAATTTCAAACGCTCATAAAAATTTAATTTGACTGTCCGGTAGAGATTTTTTTATTGATAAAGGTAGATAATCTTATAAGGAATCTTGTGTTTCATTTTCAAATCTTAGATTTAAAAAGAAAAATTTTTACGAATTCTTAACTCAAAATAATTTGCTAATTTTCGTGATTTTTCCATATTTTGTCAATTTTTGAACTTTAAATGCTTATAAAAAAAAATTGTGACTAAGGATTTTTAATATTTTTCATCTGCCTTTGAAACAACATATTAGGAGCCTTCTATTAAATTTTCAAGCTTTCGCAACCAACAAATAAAATTTTATTGATATTTTTAGAAAAAAAACTAAAAAAAAATGGAAAATGAAAATGTCCCTAAACAGTTCAAAATAAATCAAAATATTTTGAAAATGTTATCGTGTATAGAAAATGCAAATATTAACAACCAGTGAAAATTTCATGTATATACGTTCATTTGTTTTAGAGTTACACCAATAACCAAAATCGATTTTTTGGAAAACCAATTTTGCGTAAAAATTCCCGTTTTTCCTTAATTTTTATGTTGTTTTTCCCGGCGCTTGTGAAAACTACTGGGAAATTTATACTTTTGACCCCCCAAAGTACCAACTAGATTCACTTTCCTATCAGAAAAGCTACTGATGAAGAAAATCCAAGCACTTTTACTGTCCTAAAACGTGATGACAGACACAAAAATATAAACAAAAACATACATCATTGTAAAACCAATACATTCATCGCTCCGCTCAGAATCTAAAATAAACTGGGAATTCGTATGCAAAACCAGTTTTAGACAAAATCTATTGTTTTTTTTATTGTAATTCAATGAAGATAAAAACATAAACATGATATGAATTTTAAAACGTTTTGTCGTAGAGTAAAAAGCTTCAAAATTAAGAACAAGGTCCCTAATAAGTTGTTGTTATGGCGGTTTAGACGTATCAAAACATTAAAAAATATATAGACAATTTTTTTTATAGAAATTTGAAGTTGAAATTGGGTTTTTAAACGAAAAATAATATTCTTAATTTCAACAGCCTTAGTTATTTTGTTTTTATTCAAAAAATATTATTCTTATGAACTTTTTACCATTACGTATATGTATATTATTATTACTTTACGCACACGATGACAATTTCTAAATATTTATATTAATTATTGTAAGCTATTTATACCATGAACATTTTATTTATATTATATTTACATTATACCCATACATATCGTTATAGTTATAATAACCTCCCCCCCATGTAGGTTATTGTAATAGCATTTAACAATTGTATGTAACTAAAATCCCTTGGTATATTGAAAACTAAGATGTTATATACGACCATACTAAGTTTAAGAGGATGCTACCCATGCATTTGTTGTCTTCGTCTTACACACGTACGACATAGTGTGCTGTTAGTTTTGATAATAGAGTGATTTGACCTACTATACATATTTTAGATAATAACATTATCTGTGCATAAGCTTTGGATTTTATTCTATATTTTAATTTTCAAGGGAGATATGAGCATTAAATTTTTTTGATATTTCATGTACCCATATCTTGCTTGAAAATGAAAATTTCAAAAAATCGGCAACGCTTAAGCACAGATAATGTTCTTACCTAAAAGTTTTATTATAGGTCAATTTACTCTAGTATCAAAACTAACAGCACACTAGGTATTGAAACTAGTGATATACAACAAATGTATGGGTAGCGTCCTCTTAAGTACGTATGTTTCAACCCGTAACTATGCATTGAATGTTTAAACACTTGAAAATAATTGGTATATTTTTGTTTTTATTTTCCAGAATGCGTTGGGGGAGTCTGTAGTGTACGATCGCCAGCTAATAAACAATAAACAGACTTCTAGTTTGTCTAATTGTTGGTAAAAAGTCGGTCATTGATGAACCACGTTGGGACGACAACCACAACACGTTCTACTGAGTGGACATATACCGTGACGACATGCAATTGGCCGACGGGTAGGATTTGGTTGCGAGTAACCGACGTTGAAGTGATACCGCCACGGCTACTGACTGCCACCACTGTCCTCACTGAGTAATCGGATTGCGCTATTTTAGTATTTTACCACGATGGAACGCAACAGATTATTTCTGGAACCACGGTTGTAGCCGGACTCGTAGAACTACGACTACGACCACGACCACGACCACCACTCGCATTAGTCGAATTGCGATCCAATCGTCTCTTGTGGATTTATGGAAGCGGACGACGATGGACGCGACCCGGCGGCGGTGGCGAAGACGGAGACGGAGGCGGCGGCGGCGGCGACGACTGCGACCGGAAACGACGACGACGACGATGACTGTGCCACTCCCGGGGGTGGCGAAGAGTACGACGATTATCTGGACGGCTTTCTCAAAAATCTGTGCCGGGAACGGGTGATTGCTAGCGACCAGCCGTGCACTGTAAAGCGAGTATCGGTCCAGGTGGAGTCTGTGCCGTATGGTGGCGTCCGGTACGGGGGGGTGGATGAAGTGGACGACAACGAAGCGGACGCTGACGACGACGATGACGGTGCGTCGACAGCAACTATGACTCGTAAGCCTAAAATACCAGACGGCGGCTGGGGCTGGATGGTGGTATTTGCTTCACTGATGATCTGCCTCATCTCGGATGGCATCAGCTTCTCATTCGGGTTACTATACATCGAGTTCCTCAAGGAGTTCCAAGAGAGCAAGTCCAAGACGGCGTGGATCGGTAGCCTTTTCATGGCCGTGCCACTGATCCTGGGCCCGGTGGGAAGCGCACTAGTCGACAAGTTTGGGTGTCGGAAGATGACCATCCTGGGAGGTGTAATTTCAGGCCTGGGATTCATCATATCGTCATTTGCCGATTCGATCGAGATGGTATTCTTCACTTTCGGATTCCTTTCTGGGTTAGGCCTGTGCCTATGCTACGTGACGGCCGTGGTCAGCATCGCGTACTGGTTTGACAAGAAGCGCACCCTAGCCACCGGGCTGGGTGCGTGTGGCACCGGGATCGGCACGTTTCTATATGCACCGATGACCCAATACTCGATCGAGGAGTACGGCTGGCGGGGCACCGTACTTCTGTTAGCTGGCACGTTTTTCAACTTTTGCGTGTGTGGTGCTTTGATGCGAGACCCCGACTGGCTGATCGCTGAACAGAAGAAACCTGCGGTCACCAGTGGGCACTCCGGAGTCGTCACCGCCAAACCGTGGACTGACACCGAGGAGTCCATCGTCGATCACTGCCCGGTGGTAGGGGTCGAGAACGAAACAGACACTCCATCCACTGGACGGACTAAGGGAATCGATCTGATCGCGTCCGAACCGGATGTAGACGCACTCATGCAGTATCCAGGAGTCGAGCAATACAGGCGCATGGTGAAAGAAGCTCAGTGCGCCGAGTACAGGCTGACCGGTGTCACCACCACCGTCCGCAGTCCAATGACCGACGGTGTGCGCCGGCTACCCGACGACAACACTTGTTTCCGGTCGGTCATCAACTTACCCACATACCTCAAGCACAATGAAAAAGTGAGTTTATACATTTTTTAATGATCCATCACGCTTATACACCTCACATTGAAATATTGAATGTTGCTGCAGCCCACCTTCACATCATTTATTCGCCAAAAATGCATTAACTTCAACTCGGATTTTAAAACTCGAGTTTCTGATAAACTATAATTACTTTAAACGTTGTAAATAATCATACATAATCCTAATTGGAAATAATTCGTATTATTATATAGACATACCATAGTGTATGACAATAATAATGGTGTAACTACTGTAACTCGTTGAAGAAGATCATTTTGACAGTAAGCTTAATGTCGTTAGAATTAAGAAGCTCTTAAGTATATATACTTTAAAGAATAAATCCCTTCTTATTTTAAGTGGAAACCACATTTAAAATTATACAGATAAATCAATATTTTGTAACAAAAAAAAAAATTGGTATAATAGGTCGTAGAATGTCGTACATTCATCGTTATGACAGTTATGACGTACGTAAACTTAAATTTGCATTAATTTAATGTGGACAATTGTTCCGGCTATTGACATATTATATTATTATATTATCAACAAAACAATAAAAAGTAAAGTTAATCATCGTAAAAATAAACAATTGAAATTAGTAGGTATTAAACCTTTAGGTGGGTGATGAATTGTATTGTACCTATACAATATTTATAAAGCAACTGCAGATGTTTTTAAACAATTTGTTGTGATTTTCTTACATCTTTAGTATTATACTTGTAGACATGTTATACGAATCAAAGCTATATTAATAACCGGAAGCAACGAGTTAGGAATTATGATATACATTTAGAAGTTATCATTATGCCAAGTTAGGGGTCCTCCAAAGAATAATTCTTTTGTAAATCGTTTTTATATACACGTATATATAAATACCTGACATGAAGTGAAAACAAAATTAATTTTTAAAAAACATTACTCGACATAAATGGGTACTTTATGTACGTATATAATATAATATATTTTATATACACCTATATAACCCTAAATATACAGTTATTCTTAATTAAATTATTTTTAGCGACGTAATAGGAATATTATTTTTAATGAGCAACTATTTTTAATGGCAATCTTTAAATTTAATTAATCTGTTTTTACTAAATAATCAATACTTGCACTAAATGTGTATACAAGACACAACTACAACACAGGTAAAAAAGTAGGTTTAGGTATATGACTAACAAGTATCAATAATTTCAATGGTTGTCTAAATAAAATAGAACAATATTATTACAATATAAATCAGGCAATAACCATCCCCCCCACACCAAACAAAGTGTCTATTATTTTTGGTTTTCCGAAATGTCAATAACTAAATTATATTAAAATACGGTTACAATTTTTTTTATAAGCGATTTTTGGTATTATGTAGTATCTAATTCAAAAAATATTAATTTTATAAACTTTGCGCTTTAATTATAGTCTAATAGTATAATAAGACAATTAATAGTTGTCACAATCTTCAGATAAAGTATGCTGGGCACAAAAAAACAATAAGATAGTCAAATGTTCATTAAAATTCAAATATTTTAAATTTTTACATTCAAGAACAACTCTATTTTAAGAAAGGCATAATAATAATACGACACTTCACTAAGTTGGAATTTATGAGTATCATCTCGTAAAATATATCGGCAATGACGCAGTAGCCTGAATATAATGGTTTTAGTATAATAAAGTAAACAAACACATTTAATTTGGCGGCGCCGCGGAAGCAATGCGAAAGCAGATCCCGCGGCGTCGTCGGTTAAAACAGGAAAAAAAAAAAAAAAAAAAAACAAACACATTTAATAAACTTATACTTTATTATAAATACAAAGAATGATTTAATTACTGCTGATTAAAGTTGTACTGCTGGTCCGGCCAGACCGGTTGGTGGGCGCCTGTGTTGGATTGTATACGCAATTTGTCTGCAGCGTAGACCTTCGAATCATAAATCTATATCTTTTGATATCGGTATTAAATATTTATAAATAGCAAATAGGTGCTATAGTTAGTACTGCATAACGCAATAAGGAAAATTCCACAATATATTATTGTCATTTTTACATGCGACTATCTGGTGACTGGTGAACGTCATAAACTTGAAAACACGTGGAGTTCTCTGTGATAATGAAATTCTATGTCATAATATTACTCTTGTTATAATAGATTATAATATTTATTGTGAAAGTTTGGATTTAAGTAAGAGGTAAATAATGAATCATAGACAAAAGGCTGCAAAAAGTCTTAAAAATTAAGTCACAAGAATGGTAAAATATTCGCAGAGCAAGTTTTCAGAACTTTCATTATATAGGGTTAACCGTAAGAGTTAAACTAAAGTACCCGATGTGGTAGAGCTCATAATTCTCCTCAAAATGTGTATACATTATATTGGTGAATTATAAGTTAATTCTAAAAGTTAACATTAATAAAAAAATTAAATATCATAGGTACCTACGGAATATGTTGGATCTCTGTCCTAAAAATTAGAATTTAAAATATAAAAATATACCCACTTAGAGATTTATGGAAAAAAAATAACACTTCGTGAATAGCAGTTGACTATAATATACTGACATATTTAAATAACATCAATGTCTTATTTTAGTTTTTAACGTCATTACTCATTACCTAGTCAAGGATGTAAATATTATAAGTCATAATCATAAAATATAAGTTTTTATCAACATTGACTACCTATGTTAATTCCTATACTAACTTTGTCTATTGTCTTGTAAAATATAGCCATAGGTATACAATATTGGCTATAGACTATGACGTTACTGCGTCTTTGACTGTAACACGTACAAAAACAGACGAATATTTCCCTGGGTAATATGACTTTTGTTATCAAAGTAGAACCTTGTTTTTTATTTTACGGTCTACAATTAATCTTTTAGAAGATAGCTTGTGGGGCTGATGGCCTGGGGGTCATGGGGGAGTCACGATCTGCACCTCCAGAGTTTACGCTCTGGCTTTTATGTTAATCAGGTAAATGAGATTTTATAAATAAGCTACGTTTAAAATTCATGAACCACATTATACTTAATAGTAATGTCCCTCCGCCACGCGCTGTTCATGTCTACAGTTTTGAATCGTTTACGCCCTTGTCGAATACTATATTATTATCGTCTTAAAAAAAGGGACACTGAAATGCATTATTAATAAAAATAAAAAGTGCTTCTTGCATAAATGTATGTGTTTTACTGATATATATATATATATAAATAAATATAGTCTTATAATAGGTCCCACAGAATGTCGTAAATAATATAATAACACATATTTTCTACCATGTATACCTATTTAACGGTTTATAAACTATAAAAATAATAATTTTCAATACCATGATAAACTTACAGAGGAAAATTTGAAAGTCTACTGAGTAAGCCACGTTTTATATTTATATCCTGTCATAAATGGTACATAATAAATATTACAATAACTAGTAAAAAAAAAAAAATAATAATTTTAATTTTTTATTGGTACAAGTAATGGGTAAAATTAAAATTGAAATTTTGAAGACTAATTGTTAATTTACCATACCTGATTGCGTAGATTAAGATAAAATAAAGTTACATAGTTAACTATAACTATAACTCATATAGTAATATTATTACAATATGTAACTATTGTAACAGGTACCTACTTTTGTGACCGGCTGGTGCCATATTATGATAGAGTACTTTAAGGCTTAAGTTATGAAAAAAAATCCCTTTGAATGAGTCTAGCTCTTTTGTTTATTTAGTTATAAGCAATTTAACATTTTATTGAACAAAACTGAACCTACTCTAAACTTGCTGACGTATCTTAAAAACTTTTAAAATTCATATCGTACATTATTTTTAAATTTTAAAGCTATTGCCTATTTTAGTGTTCTATCAATTAACACGGGAACACAATTAAACCAGAAATGTGGAAATTATTTTTATTAAATTAAAAGGAGTAAAAAGAAATTGACAAAAACTAGCATTTTTGAAAGTAATAAAGTACCTAATACAAAAATAAAATAGTAAGATCACCTCCTTTAAAGGGGTTTTTTTTTCATAACTTATGGTATACCATCGTAATATGACGCCGGCCGGTCACTCCCCCCGGGACACATTGTATATAGAGTTATAGGAATATAACTTATAAGTACCTATTTAATATATTATTATAGTTATAAATTTATAAAAAAATGACGGTATAATATTCTACTTGTCACTGCACAACGTTCGATGTATTATTTATTCGCAGCTATAAATAGTAGTACCTAGGTAGGTAATTAATTTAAATACTCATTAATATTGTAATACACAATTTAATCGTTTCCAATTATAATATTTGTGTATAAAACATTTATTGATTTGAGTTATAATTATAAGATGTTTACATAACATTTATTATAATATTATAATTAATCCAATTAGCATATCTTTTGTTCAATACATTTAATGTTTATACTTGTATTGGCGGTGCATATTAACGTGAAATTGAAATCGTTTTATTTTTCCCAACGGCGTTGACATGCACATAATTTACGGACATTATATTTAGCTTCGGATGCCAATTTTTGTTTTTTTCTTCTTTTAATTCTCACCATTCGCGTAGGTACCGATCGCGTACTTCAAATAATATTGGACACTGTCCATATAACCTGAACATTTTTATATACCTTGTCGTTTAACAGTAGACTGTTTTTGTTAGGAATAGAGATACAAAATTCGCGATAAAAACAAACAAATCAGGAAAACTATATATTTTATGGTTTTTAGTATAATATAATTATATATCATTGTGTTGAAAGCATAACGTCTATTAATAGCATCAAAGAAAATATGTAAACACAGGAAAGAATGATTGATATTAGGTATAGCCATGTAGGTAGGATAATATTCTACCATTCTAAATATTAGACAATTTCATCATCTTAATATATGACCTGTCATATTTATTACATAGGTATTACAAAACCTTAATATTGTACATAAATTTAGATAAAGGTGCTAAATCCAATTATTTTGTTAGTTTTGATAATTAGAATAAAAACCAGCCATTAGTTAAATATATTAGGGAGTGTAAATTTGATTTTTATAATTCTAATGATAACAATTATCTGAACGCATACGGCAATAGGCATGAGGTACATGAAATATGACCAACAAAAACCTAACAATTAATGTTAAAAATATAGTGTATGTCATAAAAATATAAAATACACTACAATATAATATGTAAGTCAATCAAAATTACATAACAAAGTTTAAATTACAAATAAAGCCAAATACAATTTTTAAAAAGGTGGGCAAGTGGGTGTCGCTCTGCTGTACAGTAGGTTACTAGTGGGTCACTGTATAATGGGTGATATTTAAATTGAATTCAACGATATAATATCATTGTATAATAAAAACGATTCTGAGCGGAGACGGTATGTCAGTCTAGGTATAAGACATATTATATACATATCTATGGTATTAAACAATAAATAGACCTATAATAGGACCTATCATAAATTCCAAATTAATCATATCATAATATCCTTTAAGTACTTATAACTCGTTATACATCAACAAAAACCGTGATACTATCATAGATATATAATAGTACACTTTAGAAGTTTCAAGTACTCACGAATAACATTATTCAATCACAACAAAATACCTAAAATAGTTATTCTAGGTTTTTTAATATGTAATTTCGTCCAAATTTGAATTTAAAATGTCTGTAAAAAATAACTGTGTTCATATATTTTTTAGATTTTTTGGTTACAGTATGAACTATTTATGAGAACCTTTATTTTAAATTTGCAATCCTTAGCTATAAAAACTGAACATTTTATAATTTATTAATTACAATGATTGATAATTTTCGAGATTTTGATAAATTTTGTCAAAATTCCAACTTTAAATGCTTATAAAAAAAAACTGTGCCTATATATTTTTAATATTTTTCAACTGATATTGTAACAATATATCAGGAGACTTGTATTAAATTTTTACCCTTTTTGGCCCAACAGATAAAACTTTATTGATATTTATAGAAAAAAAAACTAAAAAAATTGAAAGCGGTAAATGTCCGTAAAGAGCTCAAAAAGAGTCAAAATATTTTCAAAATTGTATGGTGTATAGGAAATGCTAATTTAAACATTCAGTGAAATTTTCATGTATCTACAGTTATTCGTTTTTGAATTACAACAAAATAAGGAAATCGCTACATGAGAAATCGAGTGAATATCAATTGTTGTAAAAATTTGAATTTCAAACGCTCATAAAAATTTAATTTGACTTTCTTATAGGCATTTTTTTTTTGATAAAGGTAGATAAACTTATAAGGAATCTTGTATTACATTTTCAAATCTTAGATTCAAAAAGAAAAATTTTTACGAATTCTTAACTCAAAATAATTTGCTAATTTTCGTGATTTTTCCATATTTTGTCAAATTTTGAATTTTAAATTCTTATAAAAAAAAACTGTGACTAACAATTTTTAATATTTTTCATCTGCCTTTGAAACAATATACTAGGAGCCTTCTATTAAATGTTCAAGTTTTTTAACCAACAAATAAAATTTTATTGATATTTCTAGAAAAAAAACTAAAAAAAAAATGAAAAATGAAAATGTCCCTAAACAGTTCAAAATAAATCAAAAATTTTGAAAATGTTATCGTGTATAGAAAATGCAAATATAAACAACCAGTGAAAATGTCATGTATCTACGGTCATTTGTTTTAAAGTTACACCAAAAACCAAAATCAATTTTCTGAAAAATCGATTTTGCGTGAAAATTCCCATTTTTCTTTTGTTTTTCTTGGCGCTTTTGAAAAGTACTGTGAATTTTAAATTTTGACCTCCTCAATGCACGAACGATATTCACTTTCCAATCGAACAAGATACTGAAGTCGAAAATCGAAGCATTATTTCGACTACTTATCGTGTACACAGACACAAAAATTTAAAAATTATAAATTAAAAAAAAATATAAAAACACACATCATTGTAAAATCAATACATTCATCGTTCCACTCAGAATCTAAAATTTTTACGAATTCTTAACTCAAAATAATTTGCTAATTTTCGTGATTTTTCCATATTTTGTCAATTTTTGAACTTCAAATGCTTATAAGAGACCATGTAGAGGACCACATCCTAACTAGGCCTTTTCTATTGATTGAACTACTAAATGCTATCAACTCCAGAAGATCTCCTGCTTCTGGGTTAAACTCTATTTCATCCATTCTCATTAAAAACCTGCCGGAGAGAGCCATCAGCTGTTTACTAGATATACTCAAAATCTCATTTCTCAACCTTAAGGTCCCGGTCTCTTGGCGGCAGTTTAAGGTTATCCCCATACCTAAGCCGAATACAAATTTGGCTGCATACAGACCAACAGCCCTTTCTTCAACGCTTTGCAAAATAACGGAGCATATTATAAAAAATAGGTTGGTTTGGTGGGTTGAACATCAATCTGTCAATTCTACCGGAGAAACTATTTGGTTTTCTCAAAGGTCGCGGCATCTTAGAGTGCATGTCCTGTTTAGTTGGTCCCATCTACAATGCTTTCAATAGCCGTGGTTTCCTAACCGCTGCTTTTATTGATATCCGAAGCGCATATGATTCCGTCCACATCCCTACATTGCTTGCTATACTACTCTCATATAGGGTACCTGTCTACCTGGTTCATTTCATAGGTTTTCTGCTATTCTCACTAGAACTAACGTTTATCTCCCCTTCTGGTTCTCAGTCATGTAGAACCACTCACACAGGGTTACCTCAAGGTAGTTGTCTCAGCCCTTTACTATTTAACATATACATGTCTGTTATCGCGCTCACTCTGGAAGAAGCCAACAATCCGTACCTCATGTACGCGGATGACTTAGTCATCTTCCACTCCCATAAAGATTTAAATCAAGCTTCATTTCTCCTCAATCACGCTCTGTCTATTCTGGCTTGTAACTTGAACAAGCTTCATTTCTCCGTAGCAACTCACAAATGCAAAGTAGTTATTTTCACAAGGAAACGTCGATTTGTTCTCCCCAATTTTTTTTTAGATGGCGACTTACTAACCTGGCACACTAACCTGTGGTTACTGAAATTAAATATTTAGGTCTTATATTTGGTTTTATCTCCGATGGAAAGCACATTTATTTCAGTTAACTTCTTTTGTCTACAAATGGTCAAATCTGTTAAGGTCTTTAGCTGGTAGTTGGTGGGGTTCACACCCATCTTCCCTACTTCAAGTCTACAAATCTATCATTAGAGCAAAGATTAAATATGGATGTTGTTTTTTTGGTTCCGCCGCCTTGTCACAACACAAGAAATTAAATTCACTACAGGCAAACTGTCTACGCACTGCGCTTGGGTCGCTAAAGTCAACCCCTATCTCTATACTGAATGTTGAGTCCTCTTGCCCTCCACTCCCAATCAGAACTCGTTGGCTTACGCGCAAATTTATACTAAAATGCTCATCTTTATCAAACTCTCCAATAATCGATATATTTAACTCTATTAATATTAAATGGAGCCCGCATATCGCAATAACTAGACTTGACAATATTATTATTCACATTAATTATTAATAGTACCTACTAAATACTATGATGTATGGTTATCCGTATACACGTTTAGTAATCACTTATCACTTATCAGTATACTTTGTATTATTTCAGTATTCAATGATTTTATTTACTTGAACCGAAATTTTTTAAAAAGTACATAATTTTGCTGCGAGGCGCCCAGGCCCCTTTCACGATGAGGCCCGCGGACAATCCCGCCTTCAATCATATGCAGTTCCGCCACTGCTTATTAGATTTTTCTAATATTAATGATAATATTTATATTAAATTACAAAATATTGGTAAAAAATAATTACTTAAATTTGTGAAATTCATAGAATAATATAAAAACAACCCCGAAGCACCTCAACAGAGGTCCAAATAATCTAAGAGAACTAGAGAAGACATGCATAATCCCCCTCCAGTGCCTCATAAAATCCCAAGATCCCGCCTACTATGCTGAAGCCAGTAAAAAGATTGATATCCAACAAAAACCTAACCACGAAAAAAGAGCCAAGTACCTGAACCTCTCCCAAAAAAGTCTGTCTATCAAATTAAAGATATCTACATTGTGGTCAAGTCTGCTATCAATAATCCTAATGGCTTAAATGCATAATCCACAAATATATTAATGTGCAATACATCTCTTTTAATTGTATTGCTTATAACTTGGCCAGTTTCAAAGAAGAATAATCAGTGGGTGATGTATTTCAATCATTGACAACGCCAAAGTGACCAAACCAGAAACATGCCAAGTGATAAAGAATACAATTAAAAGAGATTTGTTGCACATAAATGTATTTGTGTAATAAGGTTATTGACTAATGAAAGAGCAGACTCTTGGCCGTAATATCAATATTTCGATAGGCAGAATTTTTTGGAAGTGGGTCTGGGACCTGGCAGTTTTTTCACGGTTAGTTTTTTGATGGATAACTGTATACTTACTGTTGAATCACCTAAGTCGTGTTATGTATATCATACATATGATATTCATACATCCTACCTATATGTATATTGAATGTATTAATCATGGTTCAAATTTTGTGAAAACAAATCTCCTCAAATGTAAGCTATTCAAAGATTGACTGGGTCGTCTCTTGGTATTATTTTTGAAATTATTTGACCTATTATAATTTAATATTATCATATTATGTGACTTATAATTATTTATTGTTATTATAATATTATGTGAATGTATTAACCAGACAACGTTTTTCCGCAGGTTCCGTTCGAGGTACTAGAGTCGTTAAGTTCCAACAAGACACTGTTCAACTTGATCCTAGAAAACTATCCAAACCTGTTGTTGTGCCGGAGTAGTAGTGTGAGCCAGGTGAACAATGCGTCAGTGGGCAAAGATCTGTCTGATACGCGGACGGTCTACAACAAAGGTAATGGGCTTCGGTCCGACTCACCGCCGCTGGTCATGAAGATGAAGCTAAAACAATCGAAGAAGTCAAACTCAATGGGTTCGGGCGTTATATCTCCACTAGAATCGCAGGCTATTTCACCCCCACATACTTATACCGCTGACAATAGCCCCGAACGACATCCCAAGGCACATCACTCGATGTTGAAGAGACAATTTAGCACCACTCAAAGCAGCTATTTGAAGAGTTTACCATATCACAGGTCAGTCGTACGATCCATTGCGTGTAATTAATCGATAGTATAAAAATATGATGATCGTTAATAAATAATATTACGCACGATATTCACGATACTCACGATCGGTAAAATATTAATAACTATTATTTAATAACCGATAAACTCCATAATATTTTAACTTCTATAGTTGAGTTCAATTTCTAAAAATGTAGGGGAGAGTGGCTTAATATGACATATTAGGGTAGTATGACACATTGATGTTTTGATTAGAATTATTGATATTTATGAACCAAATCCGCTTTAAATACGTGCCATATAACCTCCTACATACAATTGTATACAGTGACCACTGGTTTTGACCTTATCAGAGAATTGTATAACAAAAATTTGTTTTTTTAATCATTTTTAAAAATTAATTTTGAAATATAAAACTTTATGTTCCTTCAATTTTTTTTATTCGACATTGAAAATAAAATGGCAAGCTATACTACAATTATTTTAAATTAAAAAGTTTTATGTCATATTAAGCCAGTCTCCCCTAATATGTATTTTATTTTTCCTAGAAAAGTCTTAGATATTTAAAAATTCTATTATTCTTGTGAGCATGAAATAAGAACTATTTCTATTTTAATCAACAATACCTACATAATATGAAGAATACATATCCGTATTATAGTACAACATAATACAAAACACGTATAACTACCCTCATAAAATCATAAAGTTAGATTATGATAATTGTACACAATCATTGGCGTAAATGTGTAGTCCGATGGTGACAGGGCGATAGATTCCCCTCTGACATTTTATACTATGCTCAAAGTTCGTCCCCATCATGTTATAAGCTCTAATTCATTGAATATTAAAACACATTTTTTTTTTTTAAACAATATTCTAAAGCTTAAATATTATATATCTGTGTGTTTTATGTTATCACTAATTTGACATTAAAATATTTATACTATAGTAGATATACTTAAAGTTTTGCTTATTATAGGTAATATATATGGCCTAGGTATAAGTAGTATTAAATTGATATATTTTCACTATTTTAAAATTCTAGAAAACTTCAAGGACAGCTTTATAGCTATAATGTTGAACGTATTCATTGTTATTGGTAAATTATTTGATGGTGGAAGAGTGTCATTATCTATATTTTTAGATCCGTCAGAAAAACATTTTTTTCTATACTTTACCTTCTTAAGAAATTTGTCACAGTTCCATCACTAATAAAACCGTATACAATAAAAATCATGTATGTGTTTTTCATTTATGTTTAAAAATTATTCTTAATTTCAAATACTTAAAATAAAGATTAATTGTGTATCTCATAAGTTAACTTCACCGTTTTATTTTACTATAAAATCCTTCATTTGATGGCGTGCATAATATATTCTCGGTCGAGTATGATATTTGATATATTATACCGAATTGGTATGTAGTTATGCATCACAAATCAAACGTTTGAATGATACATCAAATCGGAACTGATTTTTTTTTATTCCTGTATGAGTGGATTAATTCAAATGCTGTAAGAATATAGAACAAATTGTGTTATCAGAGTACCTACCATATTTTTAAAATATAGGTATACAACCAAAGTCTAAAAATCCAACAGTAGATATATTTATGATTTGTAATAAAACTGAAAGCATGCTTGTATACTTGGATCTTGGACAATGCTGTATTATGTACTTAACAATGTATAATGTATTGTATTGTATACATTTTGTAACTTTGTATATATATGTATATTGTATAATGTATGTGCGTGTGTTTTATGGACGGCTTCGGCACTCACCATTAAGATATTATACTGAAATGCTTGAACGAGTTTGAAGTATTAACGTTCTGTTCCTCATCTTCACACTGTTGTATTTTAATGTTTTTTTTTTTATTAGTAATATAAGAATCTATAATGTATATGTATACATTGAAACTTCCATATTACGAAGTCTCATTAGGCATAAAAATATTCGTATTATAGAAAATTTCGTTGGGTAGAAGTCAATAAATTTGGTTTTGGTTCTCAAAAATATTGCGTTAAACGTAAATTCTTGTTAAATAGAAGTTCGTTATACTGAAGTTTCACTGTATATATATAGCCATATAGGATACAGGCATACAGCCCAACATAATATACATACAATATAAGGTTTTTATTCACCTTATAGTTTTTATCCTCATCGCATCCACCGCCCCAATACGCTTCGCATTATTTCAAAGTATTTTTTCTACTTGTATACTATACGTCTGTCTATACTAGCTATATTTATGTATGATTAATCGATTGATGATACTTCAAATATTATAAACCTATAACCTACTTTAATTTATCACTATAATGAATCGTCCTTTTCATTTTATGCATTGTATAGTATTCAATGTACAATGTGTATAACTTAGTACCTAGATTTCCGATACCTTATAATTTGGAAAATACAAAAATGAAGTAAAATATTTTTTTAGCAATATATAATAACATTAACATACCATACTTATAAATTTCTTATTATTTTTTATATATCTTTAATTAAAAATTATAAATTTTACAAACTATTATCAATTATATTATATTTAATGATAAACATTATAATATTATACAAACTTAAAAAAAAATGTGTTCCCAGCAGTCAATTTTTCAAAAAAACTTAATTTATTTCAGAACTTTTTCTAAAACACTTAATAAGTTATCAGTTACAATAACTTAAGGCACTTTATTTACACTCGTTTTGTATGTAATTGATTTTAAATAAAATAGATCTTTACAAGTTATTTTAAGTTTTAAATTGTCAGTATATAAATTGAATGCCAATATAAAATAAAGTAAATATTTAAAATGTATTATGACTATTCCTGCTAAGCCATATGATATTTTCATCATTAACTATTGTCAGTACAACTTGTATCGAAATAAATATTTATCCTCTGTATGGGGTTTAATAATTTACCCATCAAAGTCGATAAGTAAACAACGACTATGCATTTTAAAGCGGTGTTTCATCAAAGAATGTTTAATGGTCTATAACTATCAACTATAAAATATATATAAAATGTAGCTTAATAGGATGTACGTTATGTGTATGATCTATTAGTTTTTAACCATTGCAGCATTAAGCGTGTTAAAATATTAATTTAGATTAGAGACCATTCATAAATTATGTACCGTAAATTTTGGCAAAATCCCATGCACGTTATGTAATTTATGAATGCCCGTAAACGTGAATATATACATAAATCGAATTATTGTATATAATATATCATACTCCCAACGGATTAAATACTATTTTCATGATTTAATGTGTCAAAATGAGAATGGCGGGAATATAATATTATTATTAGATTTATATATAACCGAGTTGATATTTTAGAGGTGGTAGTAGCTAGGGAACATTTCTTTCACGCAATTTATATTTTTATATTCCAAGTGAAAGAGCTATTGTTAATATAATTGGTATTATAACGACATGCGTGTTGTTTACGTTATTGTTTTCAAAAAAATAAAAATAATAAAATAATATTAACTCTTAGACGCCTATATAATAGTGTCTTATAGTTGTACTCTACTTAGTACGTACGTTCAATGTCGTAATTCATATTGACAGCAGTTAAATTTATTTAAACACCCCTATCCCACCATTCACCAATGAACGATAAATATATCATAGGTAATAATAATAATAATAATAATAATAATAATAATGATAAATCACGCTCCATATCATGATATAACTTGAGTAAAATATTGTATTTTCGTTGTTGTATAGCGTATAGACTATTATAGACTATAGCGTATTCCATGATATTTTGTTAAAATAAATAAATAAATATTTATTTAAATAATTATGATATAAATAGTAAATACACAGCGTTATAAAATATGTGAATTACATATTTTGTGTTTCAGGAGCTCCGTGATGTACAAAGGAGCAATATTGAACATCCAAAAAAATTCTATGAAAGCGTCCTCATGCCCAGACATATACAACAATAACTCTACATTAACAGTCACTAGCGAACCCGATTCAGTAAGTTTATTTTTTTTCCCCGAAACAATTTACGTCTTCCTTCTTTTAGATGATACGAACGGATGCAGAGAACTGTAACTGTAACTGTAAACATATAAAACTGGAATTATTTCGATTCTTCGCAAAATAAATAAATAAACGCCCAACACACACGTTTTTACAGATGTTCCGCAGGCATAGTTTTGTCAAAGTAATTAATCAGTTATCAAATAAACGTGTGAATACGATACGTCGAGTTAGGCGGAAAAGATCATATTTTCATCCGAAATCATTGAAAAAGGTAAGGTAGGATGGTGAAGATATGTGGTGGATGGTGAGTGCTACTAGGAAATGGATGTATTTGGCATGAATTAAAAAATGATAATGCTGAGGAAGAAATATAGTTAAGACTTTAGAGTATGCATTGCATTTTGAATCTAAACAATTTACATTTTTCCACAACTTGTGTTGTTAATTTATGAAACATCAATCGATCTTAATATAGGCATTCTCCATACCTAATTATTATAATATATATTTTTTCAAACTTTTGTTATTACTTTAAAAATTATTGTTTCCATTGAATTCCACTAAACGAATTTGCTTTATAAAAGATAATTTTTGAAATGTACATAGTATACATACGTAACTAGTTCAGCCTCTATTATACATAAATTATAATGTATTTTATTTTAAATGTTAAAATACGTAAAGGTACCTATTATATAGTACATGTTTAATTCTTATTTTTGAATCAATAAGACTGCCATATTCGATATGATTTGAACGAAAAATAAACGATTTAACTAGAGTAGTGTTATAATGTTATAAAATATTTCTAAAATGGTTAAATAGAAATTGTAGTTTTTTCATCAAATGGTGCGTCACATATTCCCTGCGAACTCACTATAGAATAGGACCGACTCTTGACTGGCGCCTACGTCATGTACTACAATATACATAAATGAATGTCCGTTGTAATAATATTCGGTATAATGTAATACAAAACAACAACATATAAACGTAGAGAACCCACCCACATAAATATGCATGTTCTACAACAGAAACTATATTATATAATTTATATAAAATATATATGTATGTATATATATATATACTATATACCTACTATATAGGTACACGTTACAGATACATGTTATATTGTTATAATATTATTGTTCGCATAAAAATTTAATGCTACGCATGACAATAACTACTATACATTTATATATATTGATTTGACAATCATACACACACACGAAAAATAATAAAATATATATAAAGTCTTTATAAGTTTTTAGGGATAATAAAACGAACAATATTGTTTTTTTTATGATCGATATTATAATCAATACAATATACAGGGTGATTCACACAGCAAGCTCGCCCCCAATTTCCCCCCATTAATAATGAATTTATTCAAATTATGATTTTTGGAATTTTTAAATATACATAGTACTCATAGGAAATAAACCATATTTTAAAATTCTTGAAAGTTTTTGTACTACCTATAAGGAATGTCCTGTGGCAATACAAACTTCTGTTCTTCAAATGAGAACCTAATTACCTAGGTATATAATATAATATTTATAAAACCATGAATGCATATACTATTCAATTATATATTTCAACAAAAAAATTGGGAAGTATCTTTAAACCACGGTCCAGGAGGAGGGGGGACCCTCCTCCTGGATTATCCCTGTGCTGGTGCACATAATATAAAACCACTGTTAGCCATTTTGGTACTATATATAAGTAATACAAAATATGTAAAAGGAATTGGAAACTCGTGGTCCGTGGATAACGGCCGGTTTGATGCATATATGCTATTATTTTAGGTGGCCCCTGTCACGAATGGCTGGCCCAGAAATCCTTTTGTAGTTTTGTGTGTTCCTGACAATCACGAGTTCTCCATGCTCAGTGCACATTTTGAATTGGAGAATTACTTATACACATACAGTATAGGTACCCAAAAACAGTTCTCAAACTGTCAAGGGGTGATATATAGGAGTCAAATCTCTCACATTTGTCGAAATACTTTTTTTTAAATTCTGTAATCGTTATACCTATAATATAGTCAAAATAAAATATTATATACGGTGCAGTAGTATGACTTTGTTTTAGAATTTGAGCAGTGTGATTTAGGAATACATCTGTGAATCTGCTTTGTTGTAAATAATGTGCGATTTTTCATTCATATTAGAACAGAAAAAAAAACTGTATGTATAAGTTGCTTATGTCATTTTCCGAATTTCTCCGGTAGTCTTAGAACGAATCTGATAGAGACCCATTGATCTAAAAAACCTATTGACTAAAATATTATATTGCAGTTGTTTCATATTTTATGTACCTAATATTTTGATATATGTAGCTATTGCAATATATTCATTTAAAAATGAATTTTCAATTGTTTCTTTACTCCGTGTTAATCACCTTTATACAATCATATTATGCATTTATATGTTACAAACAACCCTAATAAATAAATATATATGTATAGATGATAAACTCAAAAGGACAAAAAAAATATATTACGAAAAATTTAAGATATCAAAAAAAAGTAAAAACGAATGATGCGTTTAATATGCTATACACGAGCGAAATCGCAAATTTTGAAAGGTTTTATTTTCCTCGATATCTTTTGACTTTTATACATAGTGATTTTTCAGCCAAAAATTGGCAACTTGGACCTTCCCACATGATTTTAATTATTTCAATTACAATTGTATGTAAAAATTATTTTATTAATGTAAATAATAATAAATTATTGTTCAAATTAATAATTATATGTGAAAAAAAGCAAAATATTATTTTTATAAGAACATAAAAAAACTGAATAAAATGACTGTTATAACTTTATCGCACTAGCTAGGTTGATTATACTTTTTTTTTTTAATACTTATCGGTTAAAACGATTATACACAACATTTAGAAATTTAATATTACCATAAAATATCTGCAAGCTGCTGCTGTACATCTCTTGTACAACTTTAAAGACCATAATACTGAGTTCAAAATATTTTATCGTAACCTTATGTTGATAATCGAAATAATATAAAATATTCATTACTCGCTGCCCAATATCTCAACCATTACGATTTTTGTTTGAGTGTTGTCCAGAAAAGTTCAACAAAAAAAAACAAACTGTTTCCTGCACTTAAACAAAAAATGTTAATTAATATCGTACCTATTATGGTATGATATAATATAACATTCTTGTGTGACAATCGAATCGTTATAGCGTTCGTATTCTGGACGAATGTAAAACGTGTTGAAATCACGGCCCGGGAAAAACGCGCACTTATTCCTATACCTATATGTGCAGTATATATAAAGTATACAAATATTATATACGCGTACGAACGTCCGCAAGAGGGTCACCCACTGGAAATATTGGCCTTGTCGTGGACGTTTTATATAAAGATTAATGTGTATTAGCACTGTGTGTGTGTAACCGTTTTTTGTGACATGTGCGCGCTATTCAAATTTGTCGCTGTAAACTTACTATAAACACCGACACCATCGGTAATATATATAATATATATAGACGCGAGCTCGTAACGAGCTAAAGCTATTCGGTATCCGATCGGTGCCAATATAACATACGACGTGTACTTTACATTTGTCGTGTGCTCGTTCGTCATTCGGCCAGATTTCAATTTTTTTTCTCTCATTTCCGTGGTTATAAGGCCGGCGCGAAGACAATATTTAATATAATGTTTTGTACCTATACAGAATGCTCACCACCATTTCATTATTTCATAATAATAATTTGTCTAATGTATCACCATGGTACACTGTGACTTTTAAGTAGTAGAAAACCTAAGTGTTTAATAATATTGTCTGTCCCCATACTTATAAATTCTGAAAATCAATATTTAAAATTTAAATACGAGTGAAAGGTACTTGGCGAATCCCTGTGTATATTGAAAAATAGTATTAGACCGTGGCTATACGTTCACATAATAAACTGAATATATCTGCCCTTATAATATATAAACCAACAATTATAATTTAGATTTTATTTGATATTTATAAATTTAAATTTTGATTTATATATATATATTGAAGCAATTTAATAGTTACTTTATCGTGAATATTGAATGTATATTTTATTGCCGTATTGGTATAATAATGTCCGTAGCAAAAACTACTTCCATATTTTGCAGAACATGTAGACATATTATCGAGTTTTATAAATCAAATATATTATGTACATGTATATTATTAATTGGGGTCCTGTGAAGGATGTTTTTTTTTTGAAAAAATTAATTAGTTAAATTTAAATTTAAATTTTTTTTAATGGAGGGTTTTGTGCTCAATCTCGATGGCTTCTGATACTTTTTTGGATTGTTTGTGTGCCACTCAACCGTTTTGTTGGAAAGGTATACCATGTTCAATATTTCTTCTCGACCCCCCCCCCCCCCCCCCCCCCCAACCCAAGGACTCCCGGCGGAATATAAAGACGCCGACGATGACGGGACTACGCCTAAACCGGCAGTTTGGTTGCTGGTAATACCCGAACAATGGTTGTCGTACTGTTATATTTATATATATATAATAGTGAATGAAGCTGTGTCGTGTTTATATATATTGTATATTATAGATGTGTGCGACGGTTGCGATTGTAGTAAAGTACCAACGACAAAAATTGAGCGACCGTCTCATCGCTAAACGTCCGGCCTAGAAGTCATAATAATAATCTCAGACTCGGAACTCTTAGCATATTTGTAGTTTCTGACGGCCTGCGAGTAAGGTACACAAATTTGTTTCGCGATCCCTCAAAGTCAACAATAATTAATCCCTTTTAATTACATTTGTATTACAAGTAAAATTTAAGAAATTAAATTTTCCTTGTTTGTTTTGTGCGCAATGTATAATTTTCTCATTTGATAAATGAATTGTCTCTTGTCAACAATACATTATCAGTTGATACGTATTAGAAATTATGAAATAATGTAAAATACGAGTAATCCATACCATATATTATTATAGCCAATAAATATTTGAATGAAATTATT